GACTGATTGACCCCATTGGCAGACTACACAGCGACGAACAGAAGGGGCGGCTCTCGGTTGTTTGTGCGTGTGTCGGTGCTGGGCGATCAGTGCGCTGTGATGTTCCCTCCTATTACAACATCCAACGCCGTACAGGGCTGCCAGCATCCACGAACGGGTCCCAGATTAAACTATCTACATGATCTAGATCGCCCACATACGCATTTACGGGCTGAAGAAGCAAGCTGAAATTCTGTAATTATTGGCTTTAAAAACGTGGCCTGAGGTTACCAGTTTCTTTACGGTTAGAAAGGACAATGCTATCTAGAAACCGTTCACAAGAGGATAAGCGCAAAGGTGGGCAAAGCAGTTTGTTGGAACTTATAAATAAGACGTGTTATATAAGTGCAGACTGAGCGGTCTGAAGTGACGGTGGCTTCTGTTCCCTTCATCTATGACTAAAATAGTAATAGATGCATTTCTCCAGTCATACTCGCAGTAGAGAGCAAATTTTCCTGTTTTGAACTAATCGCACATCTCAGCTAAAGTCTCTCAAAACAGCACAATCCCAGACTAGTGAAAGATGTGAACTTCTTGAATGTGCAGTTAATAGAAGAAGTAAGTTCTTCCCTCAGAGGAGCGAACGCGGTTAGGGGACTAGGTAGCTACTTATCCAGAATAAATAAAATGCGGCTTTTATTGGACGGTGTTGAACACCCCATATAGGCGTATGAAATTGTTCTAATCAGGCGGCGTACTCTCTACTAGGTCATCCACAGTAATACTTTAATGAGTGTTTTTTCCCCTTGAGAAAAAAATTCCGCTGCAATGATTTTCGGGTACTGCTTTTGCTGAACAACTACCCAAAGAACTAAATCATGCGTGTGAGTAAGATGAATGAAGAAGGTGATCTCGACTGTTTATGTCTAAAATGTGGACTGGTCAGCTGCAAGCCTCTCATATATACAAAGCAAACTAGAGAGCAATGTAGAACCGTACTGGGAGACGAGACCGGTCGACCGATTGTTTCTCAAATATCCGTGCGCTTTAAGATAGTCAAACATCTGATCGCACCCCACTCGGTCGGGCATAAACATCTGCTTATAAATGTCCTCTCTCTCGGGGTCTAAAAATTCTAATGCACAGTTCATTAAGAAGCGGCTATCTAACAGTATACGAGGGCTTGCCCCCCGTCTCAAGGAAGTGCGTTGACGAGACTGCAGGCCAAGTCGATGTTGTACTGACCCAGTACCATAGAACTTAATTTATTGGCAGCACTGTCATGTATGTCTAATTTTTTTAGGGATTCTATATTTGCAAAAGCTGGCGCAACTAACACTCTTTCGTAATGAGACGTTTACTCATTCCGGGATGCGAACTAACATACTCCTTTAAGGGTAGGAGCAGCTCACCAAGCTGGGCGATGCACAGGCCCAAAGCATGAGGAAATAAGTCTTACACTTTGGAGTATTGACTTTGATACATAACTCCTTGTGGAAATTGCCAAACCACCCAAAAACCGAAAAAAGACTAAGG